TGTTGTTGGTGTGCTGTTGGTGTGTTGTTGGTGTGCTGTTGGTGTGTTGTTGGTGTGTTGTCGGTGTGCTGTTGGTGTGTTGTTGGCGTGTTTTTGGTGTGTTGTTGGCGTGTTGTTGGTGTGCTGTTGGTGTGTTGTTGGTGTGGTTTTGGCGTGTCACTGGTGTGTTGTTGGTGTGTTGTTGGTATGTCATTGCGTGTTATTGGCGTGTTGTTGGTGTGTTGCTGGTGTGGTTTTGGCATGTCACTGGTGTGCTGTTGGTGTGTTGTTGGCGTGTTGTTGGTGTGTCATTGCGTTATTGGCGTGTTGTTGGTGTGTTGCTGGTGTGGTTTTGGCATGTCACTGGTGTGCTGTTGGTGTGTTGTTGGCGTGTTGTTGGTGTGCTGTTGGTGTGTTGTTGGTGTGCTGTTGGTGTGTTGTTGGTGTGTTGTTGGCATGTTGTTGGTGTGTCATTGCGTGTTATTGGCGTGTTGTTGGTGTGTTGTTGGTGTGGTTTTGGCGTGTCACTGGTGTGTTGTTGGCGTGTTGGTGGTGTGTTGTTGGCGTGTTGTTGGCATGTTGTTGGTGTGGTTTTGGCGTGTCACTGGTGTGTTGTTGGCGTGTCGGTGGTGTGTTGTTGGTGTGTTGTTGGCGTGTTGTTGGCATGTTGTTGGTGTGGTTTTGGTGTATCGTTGGTGTGTTGTTGGTGTGTTGTTGGCATGTTGTTGGCGTGTCACTGGTGTGTCGTTGGTGTGTTATTGGTGTGTTGTTGGCGTGTTGTTGGTGTGGTTTTGGCGTGTCACTGGTGTGTTGTTAGCATGTTGTTGGCGTGTCACTGGCGTGTCGTCAGTGTGTTACCTGGTTGTACAGGGCACACAGGTGCAGCGCGGTGTTTCCTGAGGCATTCTGGGAACTCATGTCGGCGCCGTAGAACAGCAGGTGCTCCAAGTGCTGCACGTTGCCATAGCGACATGCCTGAACTCGCACAAAAACACACCCACACACCAGAATCAGAAGCCAGACTCATCAACAGAGTATGTGTGTGTGAGTGTGTGTGTGAGAGCGTGTGTCACCTGGTGGATTTCCTGCCACCCGTTCTCGTCAGTGATCCCTGTAACCATGGCAACAACAACTCTTTCAGCTTTAAGTGATTTTTAACAAAAACCAGAAACAAATTAACAACACACACACACACACACACACACACACACACACGCACGCACACACACACACGCACACACACACGTACCGATGGTGGCGTGGTCCTGCAGCAGCAGCTCGCAGCAGTACGGGGCTCCGCCCACCATGGCAGAGTGGTAGAGGGGGGTCAGACCCCGGCTGTCCTTGTAGTCTGGAGACGCTCCGAGGTCCAGCAGAGTCTGGGGACCAGAACACGGGTCAGAACCAGAACCGGTTCACAGCCTGTCGGGTCTGGGAGGTACTCTCACCGTTAGCGAGGCGCTGTTCCTGCACAGGACGGCCCGGTGCAGAGCCGTGATCCCGTCTCTGGTCCTGAAGTCCAGGTGGGCTCCTCCGCTGCGCAGGACCTTGATAAGCTCACCGCTGTCCTCCAGCTGGACGGCCAGGGTCAGGGGACACTCTGAGGACATARAGACACGCCAACACGAGTTTTACAAATCTTTTCAAAAGCTCAACCCTGACAGGAAGTGGGCAGAGTCAGAGTTTGGACCCGCCCACAGGACAGAAGGAAGAATAACACTGAAAARTACAGAAAATAAACGTTTTCTACTTCAGTCTGAATGAATTCAGAGTTTTTGTAATCAGAGCAGCTGTTTTTATCTGCACAGCTTGTCAATCTGTAGTCTTGGCCACGCACATTATTTTGTTGTTTTCACTCAGAGCAGTTTTTATAATAATCTCATCAAACTCTCTTTGATCATGTTGGTATTTTAGGTTTGGGGTGTGTTTAACAAGCTGAAGGGCTCAGACTACTTCCTGTCTGGTTTCTGATGGWCCCGCTCACCTCCGCTGTCCGAGTCGTGGAAGTTTGGATCCAGACCTTTTTCCAACCATTTGGAAACTTTCTCCACGTTCTTCTGATGGACATGTTCCATAAATCTCTTCAGGTTGGCCTGAAGAACACAAACATTCATTTATTTCAGTTAACTGAAGTTGTTTCCTGCTTTAATGAGAACATTTAACCTGGTTAACCWGGTTAATCTGTTTAACCTGTTTGACCTGTTTTTTCTGGTTAACCGGGTTAACCTGGTTAATCTCTGTTACCCTGGCTAACCTGGTTAACTTGGTTAATCTGTTTGACCTGATTAACCTGTTTAACCTAGTTAATCTCTGTTAACCTGGCTAATCTGTTTAACCTGGTTAACCTGGTTCACCTGGTCAACCTGTTTAACCTAGTTAATCTTGATAACATTGGTTAACCTGGTTAGCCTCTGTTAACTTGTTTAACCTGGTTAATTTGTTTAACCTGATCAACACAATCAACCTGGCTAACCCATTTAATGTGGTTAACTTGGTTAACCTGTTTGACCTGATTAAACTGTTTTAACATGGTTGACCTGTTTTTCTGTTTAACCTGGTTAATCTTGTTAACCTTAGCTTACCTGGTTAATCTGCATAACCTTGGTTAACCTGGTTAGCCTGGTTAACCAGTTTGACCTGATTAACCAGTTTAACCTGGTTAATCTCTGTTAACCTGGCTAACCTGTTCAACCTGGTTAACTTTGTTAACCTGTTTGACCTGATTAACCTGTTTTTTCTGGTTAACCTGGTCAACTTGTTTAACTTGATTAGCCTGTTTAACCTGGTTAATCTTGTTAAACTTGGTTAACCTTGTTAGCCTGGTTAACGTAGTTAACTAGTTTGACCTGATTAATCTGTTTAATCTTGGTTAACTTGTCTAACCTTGTTAACTTGATTTTTCTGTTTAAACTGTTGGTTAACCTGTTGGTTAACCTGGTTAACCTGTTTTCTCTGGTTAACCTGGCTAACGTGTTTAATCTCTGATAACCTGATAATCTTGTTTAACCTGATTAACCTGTTTAATCTTGTTTAACCTGATTAATCTGTTTAATCTCGGTTAACCTGTGCAACCTTTTTAACTTGATTTTTCTTTTTAACCTGTTAGTTAACCTGTTGGTTAACCTGGCTAACATGTTTAACCTTGTTAACCTGATTAACCTGATTAATCTTGGTTAACCTGGTTAACCTGTTTAATCTTGGTTAACCTGGTTAATCTTGGTTAACCTGTGTAACCATTTTAACTTGATTTTTCTGTTTAACCTGTTGGTTAACCTGGTTAACCTTGTTAACCTGATTAACCTGATTAATCTTGGTTTACCTGGTTAACCTGTTTAATCTTGGTTAACCTGGTTAATCTTGGTTAACCTGTGTAACCTTGTTAACTTGATTTTTCAGTTTAACCTGTTAGTTAAGCTGTAGGTTAACCTGATTAACCAGTTTGACCTGATTAACCTGTTTAATCTTGGTAACCTGTCTAACCTTGTTAACTTGATTTTTCTGTTTAACTTGTTAGTTAACCTGTTGGTTAACCTGGTTAACCTCTGGTAAACATGTTACCTTGGTGTGGAGCTTGGCCAGCTGCTTGTCATCCACGTAGCTCTGGGTGTAAACTCTTCTCTTATAACGGAACTGTTCAGAAACAGAACAAACGCTGGTTGAGAGACGACTCGTCTCACAGACTTTGTAACAAGTCAGTTAAACATTTTTTCAGCACGAAGAACGAGAACGAGACAAAAACACAACAAACTTTAAGCAGCAGAGGAGACTGACGAGGAGGAGAAACTTCTCACCAAATCAAATATCAAACAGGAAATGAGCTGAAGATGAGGCTCGTTTGTCAGTTGTTGAAGAAAAACATGATTTTATTCTGCAGGTTTATGTTCTAAATTAAATTAAATTAAATGATCTTTATATCTCACACAACTTAAGCTTTGTTTTATTAGAAGTATTACAGAGAGATCTGTCTAACCCAGGACTTTTACACATCAGGACTTAAGACTGATCTGGTCTTCAGGTTCTGACTTCAGCTGACTCCACAGAACATTTATTTGTTAAACTAAAACAAAAAGTTAAACCTGTAAATCTGTTTTCCTGCTTCTTCATCAGGATCTCTTCTCATTATAGAACCTGAAGAGCCGATCAGTTACTTTATGACCTGAGACCCTTGAACTGAGGGAAGGTGGATCTGAAGGGGTCTCTGCAGTCATCAAGTGGGAGGAAGTTATGAAAAACATACGTGGTGTGTTTGACTTCACCGTACGGTGCTCTGTCCGTTTGTTTCTTTTTTTAAATCCTTCTGAGGCTCACAAATAATAAACCTGATTGAACTGTTCTTTCATTATACCCTGTTAAAAATAAGTAATTTAATTAATGCTAAATAAATCAATAAACAAATAAATAAATAAATAAACAAATAAATAAATAAATGTCAGGAAAAATATGTTTAATCCTTGGCAGAATCTACATCAAGTTGCCGAAGCTAAACTTAACATGTTTATTTCAAAATAAAATTATTTTGTTTAAAAGAGTTTGTTTAATGTAAGTAAATACATAAAAATACATAATATACTAATTCAGGGGCCTATTTGTACAAAGCCCCACCTATTAGTACAAAGTCCCACCCATTGGCACAAAGTTCCACCTATTTGTACCAAGCTCCACCTATTTGTACAAAGCCCCACCTATTAGTACAAAGCCCCACCCATTGTCACAAAGCTCCACCTATTTGTACAAAGCCCCACTTATTAGTACAAAGCCCCACCTATTTGTACAAAGCCCCACCTATTTTTACAAAGCTCCACCCATTGTCACAAAGCTCCATCTATTTGTACAAAGCCCCACCTATTTGTACAAAGCTCCACCTATTAGTACAAAGCCCCACCTATTTGTACCAAGCTCCGCCTATTTGTACAAAGCTCCTCCCTGGAGCTCAGTCTGTAGCCAAGCCCCTGCCCCGTAGAACACCCCTCCCCAGAAGCATAGTTGTGAAGATGTGCTGAAGTGGGAGTGTCAGAAACAGTAGGAAGTTTTTAAAGAGATGGGCCAATTTTAAGGTTTTTAGATCAACTAAGATGCTAAATCAGATATATTATTTTCACACAGCTGCAGGTAACAAAGTTACTCGATGCTGGTTTAAAACTGAACTCTGTGGCTGGAAATGCTAAATTTTCCCAACCTCCACCTGAACCCCAGAACCGCCCACGTAGAGACTGCAGAGACCCTGATTGGAACCCAATGATGTGAAATCAGCTCTGCTGATGTGAAAATATTAAATATTAATTTTAAAAATGTAAATAAGTGACATTATGCTGCTGCTAAAGAAGCACATGTTGGATGTTTTATGTTTGCAGCTTCTTTGTGTTTGTTAGAACCAAAGACAGAATGAGGTGACAGTTTCAGACTTTCTGAGCTAAAACTGGTCCTTTAAAAGGATCCTCCGACGGGTCGTTTACCTCCAGGTACGGGATGGGGGTGATGGGGGGCAGAGGATACTCCTTCAGCAGTCGCTCYTCGTCCAGAAACTTTCCGGCTCGGCCGTTGAACGCCGGCTGGAAGAGACCATAGTTCAAAACATCCGACAGAGACTGAGTCAACGTCACCAGAACCCTCTGCTTACTGGTCCAAACTGGTAACTCTGGGTCCAACCGCAAACACTTCTGAGAGAGCGGGAGCCAGAGAAAAGGCAGGCAGGCGGACAGACGGACAGAGAAAGAGACAGATGCAGACAGACACACACACAGGTTTGTGTCGCGTTCTTTCATTTCCATGGTTCTGTTCACGCTGCCGTTCTGTGGGCGTGTTACCGTCTGCTGCAGGTCCGGGATCCCGATGCGGACCACCACGCTGTTTCCAGGGGGCGAGTCATCGGCGTCGTCATCCCTGGCGACAGCAGAGCCTGTTGGGTTGCCGTTAGTAACCGCCTGTTGCCGCGGGCGATCATGTTTGGTGTCAGCGGTCGGACTCAGAGGCATGTGGCTGAAGACAGAAGAGAAGCCGAAAAGATTTCAATACAGCCGAAAACCTAAAGTAATAAAACTGAACAAAATCTTTCTGAAATTTTTCTGAAACWGTTTATTAGTTAAATACTTAATATGTTGGTTTTAAGCTAAATCTCATTTTTATTCTAGAAAAAAAATCTATCAAATCAACAGTGTTCACACCAGAGTCCCAGAGACAAAATGGTTCCAAACATTCTGTTGCCTCGTGTCAAATCAGTCTGAAACCAGTGTCAAACAATCTAAAACTAGTCTCAAACCAGACTCAAACTGGACTCAAACTAGTCTCAAACCAGACTCAAACTAGTCTCAAACTAGTCTCAAACCAAACTCAAACAGTCTCAAACTAGTCTCAAACCAGACTCAAACCAGTCTCAAACAGTCTCAAACTAGTCTCAAACAGACTCAAACCGGCCCAAACCAGTCTCAAACTAGTCTCAAACCAGACTCAAACCAGACTCAGACTAGACTCAAACTAGCCTCAAAGTAGTCGCAAACCAATCTCAAACTAGTCTCAAACCAGACTAAAGCTAGTCTAAAACTAGTCTCAAACCAATCTCTAACCTGTGTTAAACCAGTGCCAACCCAGTCTAGAGTCAAAGTTTTAGTACAAACACAGRGATAAGTAAAAACAATATTGCTCCATATTTGTCCTATGTGGCACAATTGTAAAAAATAAACTTCAGAAACAAGTTTTCCAATGATGGAATTTAACAAATTTTATCTTGAAACAACTTCAACAATTCTTAAATTCATGTTTTGTTTTAACTTTAGTTTGTCTGATATCACGTCTGTTCTGTCAGTCCTTCATGAAATGTTTAATAAAATGTTCTTAATATCTGATTCATTATTCATTCAGAGATAAAAATAGTTGAAATAATCTAACAGCCGCCCACAGACACTCGCACAGATTTACAGGAAACCTGGAGGTTCTGGTCCAACACRCCACACGTTCAGGTGTTTTCTCTCTGACTGTCAGCCGACCCTGGGATGTTACATCACTTCCTGTTTTTCACACAGATGAGACCAGGGTCGGATTCTTTTGCTCAGACATTTCACTGCAAACATTTCAGGCTTTCGCTGAAACATTTAACTTAAATTAAACCTCAGAAACGGAGTTTAAATTTGGACATTTAACGTTTTCCAGTTGAATGTTTTGCTCTTTGTTTGTAAATTGTTTTTGTTGAGAATTTGTTGCTTTAAATCTTTATGAAGGATTTATTGAAGGTAAACATGTTTCTGGACCAGAAAACATGTTTACCAAGTCAAACTTTATCAAACTTTAACATCCATCCATTCCAAGTCCTTCCCAGACCAGACTCGATCTCTCCAGAGGGTACTGGGTCTGGAAAACCTCTGAAGGTGTCCTAATCAGAGACCTGAACCATGTCAACAGACTCGTTTTGATAAGGAGCAGCAGCTACTGACCTTGTCTCTAAATCTGAGCCCAGGTTCCCAACAGAGGAACCTCATGCTCAGACCCAGGATCTATGTCTCTTAGTCCTGATTGACAGGTGAAGGTTGGAACGGAGATGAACAGGTAAATTCAAACGGAAGCAATGCCCTCATTACAGAAGCCACGGCATGGTTCCATCAGTTTGTTCCCTAATCCATCTTTTTGTTCCCTGATCCGCCTCTCCTTTCTGATCTTCCTTTCTGTTCCCTGATCTATCTTTCTGTTCCCCGATCCTCCTTTCCGTTCCCTGATTTGTCTTTCTGTTCCCTGATCTATCTTCCTTTTCCCTGAACCACTTTTCCATTCCCTGATCTATTTTCTGTTCCCTGATCCTCCTTTCCGTTCCCTGATCTATCTTTCCATTCCCTGATCCTCCTTTCCGTTTCCTGATTTATCTTTCTGTTCCCTGATCCTCCTTTCTGTTCCCTGATCTATCTTTCCGTTCCCTGATCTATCTTTCCGTTCCTTGATTCTCCTTTCAGTTTCTTGATCTATCTTTCTGTTCCCTGATCTATCTTTCCGTTCCTTGATTCTCCTTTCAGTTTCTTGATCTATCTTTCTGTTCCCTGATCTATCTTCGTGTTCCTTGATCTATCTTTCCGTTCCTTGATCCTCCTTTCCATTTCCTGATTTATCTTTCTCTTCCCTGATCCTCCTTTCTGTTCCCTGATCTATCTTTCCGTTCCCTGATCTATCTTTCCGTTCCTTGATCCTCCTTTCAGTTTCCTGATCTATCTTTCTGTTCCCTGATCTATCTTTCTGTTCCTTGATCTATCTTTCCGTTCCTTGATCCTCCTTTCTGTTCCATTATCTGCCTTTCTGTTCCCTGATCTATCTTTCTGTTTCTTGGTCAGTCTTTTTGTTCCCTGATTCATCTTTCCGTTCCCTAATTAATCTTGCTTTTCCCTGATCCATCTTTCTGTTCCCTGATCTATCTTTCTGTTCGCTGATCCATCTTTCTGTTCCCTGATCTATCTTTCTGTTCCCTGATCCATTTTTCTGTTCCCTGATCCATTTTTCTGTTCCCTGATCCTCCTTTCTGTTCCCTGATCTATCTTTCCGTTCTCTGATCTATCTTTCCATTCCTTGATCCTCCTTTCAGTTTCCTGATCTATCTTTCTGTTCCCTGATCTATCTTTCTGTTCCCTGATCTATCTTTCTGTTTCTTGGTCTGTTTTTCTGTTCCCTGATCCTCCTTTCAGTTCCCAGATCTATCTTTCTGTTCCCTGATCTATCTTTCCGTTCCTTGATCCTCCTTTCAGTTTCCTGATCTGCTTTCCATTCCCTGATCTATCTTTCTGATCCCTGATCCATCTTTCCGTTCCCTGATCTATCTTTCTGATCCCTGATCTATCTTTCTGTTCCCTGATCTATTTTTCTGTTCCCTGATCTATCTTTCTGTTCCCTGATCCTCATTTCTGTTCCCTGATCTATCTTTCCATTCCCTGATCTTTCTTTCTGATCCCTGATCTATCTTTCTGTTCCCTGATCTATCTTTCTGTTCCCTGAACCACCACTCAGGACCAGAACTCACAGAAGACCAGAACAGTCCACTTGTTTCTGGTTAAAAAATGTCCCCATAGAGTCAGACTTTATGCTAAAATAACCTCAAAGATTCTTCCCAACCAGAGAACAGAATAAAACCACCTCCAGACTCTGAAAACACTAAAAACAGCTGACAAAGAGAAGAACCGACTCCGACCCAAACGGATCAGAGTTCACCTGAACTCAATCAGTTTTCATTCTTCTTCCACATTACTGATGTTCAAACATTATCACCTCTTTAATTATAATTTATATTAGTCTTCTTTGATGATAATTAACAGCTGAACACGGTGAACCCGGACCGAGTCGAGCCGGAGTCAGAACTTTAACGCTGCTCAACACAAAGACGACGCAGATGAAGAGTCCAGAGTTGTCATAGAAACCTGGATTAGCAGGGAATCCTGTGCTAACCTCAGTGTGTCACTACGCTCGGGTATGTGCGTGTGTGTGTGTGTGTGTGTGTGTGTGTGTGTGTG